CACAAAAGCCGGTTATTCATTGCCTAGGCTCACCAAGGCAATATATACATTACATGTTCATTCCAATATGTTAGAGCAGTGTAATGTCAATGAAAATCCTCCGCTCTGGTAACCATCTAGGCACTGGGAAACGTGTGCCGTGGTGGGCAAGATTCAGTCGGCGTGTTTCCGTTTCCGCAGGCACGACAGCTCATCCTGGAGCATGGCCTCACGCTCAGCGACCTCGACAGACACCCTGAGGTGAGTGGCTGGCATGGGGAGAATTTGTTTGAATACGATTGGATAGTGGCAAAGACGAACGTGATGACGGTAGTGGGATGGCAGCAAGGAGTTTGGTCCAGCTCCAGCTCGGGGAACATCACGAGAGCGTTTGGTGAGAGCTTGTGTTGACAGGGAGTGCTGGGAGCTTGTGCTGACAGGGAGTGCTGAAAGCTTGTGCTGAGAGGAAGTGGTGAGAGGGAGTGCTGGGAGGGAGTGCTGGGAGGGAGTGCTGGGAAGGAGTGCTGGGAGGGAGTGCTGGGAGGGAGTGCTGGGAGGGAGTGCTGGGAGGAAGTGCTGGGAAGGAGTGCTGGGAGGGAGTGCTGGGAGGGAGTGCTGAGAGGGAGTGCTGAGGGAGTGCTGAGAGGGAGTGCTGGGAAGGAGTGCTGGGAGGGAGTGCTGGGAGGGAGTGCTGGGAGGGATTGCTGGGAGGGATTGCTGGGAGGGAGTGCTGGGAGGGAGTGCTGGGAGGGAGTGCTGGGAGGGAGTGCTGAGAGGGAGTGCTGGGAGGGAGTGCTGGGAGGGAGTGCTGAGAGGGAGTGCTGGGAGGGAGTGCTGGGAGCTAGTGCTGGGAGCTAGTGCTGGGAGCTAGTGCTGGGAGCTAGTGCTGGGAGCTTGTCCTGGGAGCTTGTCCTGGGAGCTTGTCCTGGGAGCTTGTCCTGGGAGCTTGTCCTGGGAGCTTGTGCTGGGAGCTTGTGCTGGGAGCTTGTGCTGGGAGCTTGTGCTGGGAGCTTGTCCTGGGAGCTTGTCCTGGGAGCTTGTGCTGGGAGCTTGTGCTGGGAGCTTGTGCTGGGAGCTTGTGCTGCCCTCCGTTGAGGTCTGACCTTCGAACCCGGATCAGGCACTGATGGATGGGTTGTGGCACGGCCTGTATTGATGCTGCCAAATCTGCTTGTGTTAGTTTATTTTTCGCTTGGCTTTTTATACGGATGCCTTGTAGAGTGTCTTGGGAAGCTCTTGTATTTAGATGCATTACACATTTGATCTATGGTATCCATGGAGCCAAAATAATCGGCAGTTGTAATGAGTGTTCAATTACCAACGAATTGTCTTGAGCATATTACCACTCGTAGACTTGGCAGCTGAGTTCTATATCTTGCAGTGCTGGGGTTTAGTATGGAGGCATTACTAATTTGGTCGGCTGGCTTAGCGATTGAGCGAGCGACTCGCTGAGTATGAGGCCAATGTCCCATCATCATCATCCTTCCTGGTTCGATAGGCAACGAATCCCACTTTTTGCGGACATCAACAGCGGATGTCCTGTGGATAGTCTCACCCCTGCGATAGGAATGGGTAATTTCTACCACTGGCTCAGGGCTGTAAAGAGGAGATGAGCAACACTTCACTTCTCATGTGAGCAGGAAATATTTAGTAGCGCTCGAGTGAAAACTCAATATTTACCAGCAGCCATTGCTGTTATTGTGTCGCCTGCAGCTGGACGTGGCCATTGACGGTGCAGACGAAGTGGACTCCAAGCTGACCTGCATCAAGGGAGGAGGGTAATGAGCACCGCACGGCACCGCTCGCCATGGCGGGGCGTGGGAGCGGCTTGTATATGCGGCTCGCTGCCTCGGCCGTGTGTGGTAATTGCTCCTCATCCCACGCTCCAGGGGCTGCCTCACGCAGGAGAAGATCGTCGCGAGCTGTGCCAAGCGTTTCATCGTTGTTGCCGACTACAGGTAAGCAAACAAGGGGGGTTTCATGTCTCGCTGAATGTTTTCCAGGTTTATGCTAAGATTGGAATAGTGATGTGACTTGCAGCCACAGCCATAACAAGAGGTAGACTGGATGGGGTGCATTCTGGGTGCGGAAGTATTTACCGGGTCGCTGACCCATTCAGAGCTGGCTGAAATGAAGCTTGGAAGTAAACGTGATGTCCTTTGAATGTCGGGGTTTTCCGTTCTAAGGACACAGTCAGGGTGTCATGGTCGTTTTGACGCTCGTCTGCTTTGACTGCGACAGCCGAGTGATCTGACGGGAGGAAGTAATTTACAGTGGCCCCAACGGCATTGGTGAAAGTCAGCGCTGTACTCTTGCAAATCCTCATCAGATTTGATGCCTCTTTCTCTTCGAACAAAATCTCATCTGTTTTACATTTATAATATATTCCATTCGACTCTTCAATGAGTTTGAGATTTTTTTCTTGGTGCTTGGACAATGGATTTCATTTTCAAATAACCATATGAAGTACATTTTCCCATGTTTTATTTTTATTTTTAAAACATTTCTTGTAACCATAAAAAAATTCTGCCCCACGACTGCGATGATGTATACTTTGTAACATATTTTCATGCTGCGTATTTTAAACTGAAAGCCTTCCTTTGCAAACGAGCCTCTTCTTAACTGGGCACCTCACCTCGTTATGAAGCTTTTTTTATTGGAAGCGATGACCTCCAGCACCGTTCGCCATTGACTTCTGTGCAGGAAGCGATCGTCGGAGCTGGGCCAGCAGTGGAAGAAGGGCGTCCCCATCGAGGTGGTGCCCATGGCGTACGTTCCGGTCGGGCGCACCATTGCCGCCCGCTTTGGGGGCACCGCCGACCTGCGCATGGCTGTCAGCAAGGCTGTGAGCGCCCATTATTCACCGCTTATTGTAATTTTTGCTTTGTTCCATATTCATTATTTCTCAGCCCATGGTAACAGTTGGTCTGTCCGAATGATGGATGTTCTGCGGTGGAGAGCGCCGTGTTGCTCTGCTTTTTCTAGCCGCTATGCATATTCACACTTTTTTTTTGCCCCTCCACTATTATAACTCAACCAGACTCGCTTCTGAAATGGCCGTGGCATATTTTAGCGGTCGTAACGTCCTGCAATGTTCTAGGGTCCGGTGGTCACGGACAACGGGAACTTCATCCTGGACTGGAAGTTCGACCGTAAGCACGACTGGCAGGTGGTCAACACGCAGATAACGCTCATCCCAGGTATGAGACAAAACGGTCAAACAAACTTCAGTCAAACATTCCTCACTGCAAAAAAATTGGTTAACATTTGAACCCATGGACATTTGCCCATTCTTGTTATTTGTACAGATACAGCCCCATGCTGTGCGAGTTAAATGATCATACTTCACCACTCTGGTCAGTGTGGGTTGGTTATATCATAGAGTATAGATGTGGCAGTGGTACAACAAGGAATTGTGCTGCTGCCACCATAGCCACTTCGGGCTGCTATTGACTTAATATGTTAAAAGTTCGTTGAGAAGAAGTCCTCTCCCCAGGCTTGACTAGGGTTGCTGCACACGGCTATGCTTACCGTGTGTGTGTGTGAGTGTGGGGAGAGAAAGTGTAGCGATTGGCACGCTGCGCTACAAACTCAGCGACCAGAGTTTGATTCCCGTTCGCGACCAACACCAGTGATGATTATCTGAACTGGTTCTGGACCTCCCCTAGGTCTACTCAGCCTCAAATGAGTACCTGTTGCACTGTGTAAACCTTGCCATTTGAGACACAAAGGTGGCCGGGTGTGGTGCTGACCACCCACCCCATCGTGTGCCGTACTGGCCTTAATAGTTGCTTGCTAACAGCAATTGCCCCAAAAGTATGTTAAGGCTATACGGGGTATTTTTGTGCGTGTTTGTGCGGCAGGGGTCGTGGAGACGGGCTTGTTTATTGGCATGGCGGAGAAGGCCTACTTTGGGATGCAGGATGGCAGCGTGGCCACCCAAGAGCCAGGCGATCAGAAGAACTAGTTAGTGGTGGAGAGGCCGGAGGTGACGTGCCAGAGCCCTCCCAGTTCGCTCGCTCCTCGCAAGCTTCCCGCAGATTCCCTTTGCTGTACACTCACATGATCGAACGTTCATCTTGCAGCTTGCCAAATTTAAGTTTACATTTGTACGGTGCCTTCGTTTGCCATGTTGAATTGCTGGTTTCATACTGTGCACTATATTTTTGGGAATGCCAAATATCACAGCAAAATCCATTGAATGTGTCAGTTTTTTTGTTTCCCCTTGACTCTGAATTTCATACACAGCATTTGTAAAATATACGAAGAGACAATGAAAAATATATCAACCAAATCTTTGCAATCGTTGAACAGATAAAACAAATTTTGTGCATATCCACTGCTGTCGACATATTTCGACTCGGTGGTTGAGAAAAGGGTAGATAAATATTGGATGAATTTTTTATATTTTATAACCTTTGTAGCTGCGGTTGTGATTTTTCCAGGAGAGATAAAAAAAACAGGCGTAAGTAACTGGTATTGAAATCGGAGTCTGGCATAATTTGAATCACTGCAGAGTGCCTACAACAGTTTAGAAGACTTAGTCCGTATTATCAGTAGCACTGCCAGGGTCTGTCTTCTCATCTGTTTTTCTAAAAGTTTTACGACGCGTGACATCTTACCAGTGTTTGCAATGCTTCTTGGCAAGTTTGTGTCCGGTTCATTTGTGTGAATTACACTACCATAGAAACGATGATTTGAAATCAACTCTTGACCAACAGCAATAGTATGTATGTATGTTGGACTTCTTATGCATCGCACGTAGCCAACTGTGCTAATTGGATGTGTGAAACGTCTTTGAAGTTTCAGTCAATAAAAATACATTTTCTTGATTAATTACAATTTGGTGTTTCGCGTGATCTTTGTTGTTTCCCTGAGTTTGGCGCATTTTCAAGATACAAATCTCTTGGGACAGAATCGTAGAGAAGAATCTGGGCCTCATGAAGGCTTGACTTAAAACGTATGACAAAGAACTGTGTTCAATGACAATCCACGAGGATGTAAATGTTTTCAAACGAGGGTATTTTATTTTACAGATATTTACCTTTTCACAGCAATGTTGAGAGTTCAATATTTTCCCATAAAATTATAAAACAAAACATGAAAAAGGACTGCAGCAAACACCCGAGCAAGGAGACGAAATGAGCGTTAACGTTGTTGCCACATTACTGTACCTCCCAATAGCTGCAAGAGCCTCCTTTGCCAGGCCGGCATGCAGTGTGATTACACATTCCACTCTGGGGTATTCGTGTGGCATTGCGGAAGTGCGAGTCTGAAGTTGCACAGACAAATAAACTAATGTGCAAGTGTATAAATAACTTGATGTGCACAACGCTCGTTTATGAAAAGCACTCGAGATGGTGCTCGATGCGATGAATAAAAGATGCGCCCACGTGGCCGCTCTGATGTTCTTTGGTATCGGGCGTGTCTTCACAGTGGGTAAACAGATTTGTTATTTCAGCCTAAAAACGTATTGGCGGATTGGGTAAAAAAGTTTGTTGGTGTCGGGTTTTTGTCAAAGGGAAAATGTTGCCCGTGAGAACCCGTCGGCGATTGCGATGCTGCCCCCCCCCCCCCCCTGTAACGATAGCGGCGCATGTAATGATTCTATTCGACTCGGAATTCACCTGTTCCCAAGCGTACCGTTTCTGTTTTGCGTGTGTCACAACGGACGAATCTGCGACAAATTCAAGTCGGCTCCATATGCGATGATGATGGCAACGTACCTGAGAAGACCTAAGAGCGGCTTTGTTGGCGTCTCAATACCCCATTTACAAATATCGACCCATAAATACAAATAAATAAATAATTGCCTTTCTTACGCCAAATATCAACTCAATTCACAACAATAAACTAAATGAACAAAAAAAACCTGTAACAACCATTTAGACTTGTTTTCCTTCTGTCAAAAAGTACAACAGGTAAAAGGTTCAACATGTACGGTTTGGCCAATCCACTGCTGGATGAGGGACTCGCCATGCCACATTCATCGTGGGGGTTATTGACCTTATTTCACCACGCTGGTCAGTGTGGGTTTGGAAGTGGGGGAAGCAGAGTTGAGTACAACGGATTTTTCTACACTGCCCTCTGCTGACAAAACCTACACCATCCGTGATATGCATGGTGGTCGCCCATCCGAGCACTGTCCAGGCTCCAAAATCCTGCTTAGATTCCAAGCTCTGATGAAATCGGGCGCAATCCGGGGTTGATTTGGTCACACGTAGGCCGTCGGAGATCGAGTGAAATAAAGCCAAAGGATTCAACATCGAGCTGCTGGGGAGCGCACGGGATTTCTGGAAGCCTCGTCAGCAGCGTGTGATGTCCACCTGGGGTCACGACCTCAGGATGCACCACCCGGCTGTGGAGGGGAGCGAGCGTGTGGTGCTTCTCACAGCTGTGTCCGATGTCCCTCGGCGACGTGCTCGCCACACTCCGCTCCCATCGCCTCCCCCAGCCCGCTCTCCCCCAGCTCCCTCAGCCTCTGGATCAGGTACCTCTGCCGGAGCAATGGACACAAGGCAACAGTGAACAATTTTAACAACTTGGGACAACAACTGTTGGGTTTCAAGAGGTGGCTGGGTGGGTCGAGGGGCCAGAGACATTGAGATGGCATCGCTGAATATCCTGGGTTGGAATCGGAGGTTTGCTGTAATTATACCAGGCTCTCAAGTCCAGCGAGTTGACGGTTTAGAGCCGAGACTATTTAAACTAAACAATTTAAACCTTATTTTACCAGGTCAGGCCCAATGGACTATATTGATCTTTTTCAGAAGCGACCTGGCCACATGATAGCTCAACAAAGTGGCTTATGTGAAAATTTATAAGAGCCAAATACTCTAAACGTAGTCTCACAGGAGACTACTCATGTGCAATCTCTTATTACGGCAGAAGAAAGCCATAATCAAATCAGATTTTTCACTCAATCATAAAACAATTACATTTTGAATGAGCACTCAAATTGCGACTGCGTCTTATGATGCTATCTCGAAACAGTGGGGATATTCTCTAGAGGCAGTCAGGTCACGGGCAGAGGTAAGGGTGCAAGATCCTGAGCCTGCACTTGAACAGGGAGAGGAAAAAATTAACCCATAAAAACAACGTTTTTCACTATAAATCCTTTATATGCGTGGCATCGGTTTTATTTTATTATGCATTTCTGTTTTTCTTGAGTAAGAGTTTCATTTTTATCACATTGGTATTTTAAATTAAATATGAATTTTTTTTCTCCTAAAAAGTGGAAAATTTTTGAAAATTTTTTTCACGAAAATAAATTGTCACACACAACGAGTCTGTGTGCAAAATGTCAGCTCGATTGGATCACGGGAAGTGGGTTAAAAAACGACCGAAAGATTTGCACAGGTCGTTAAGTGCGCAATCAAGCAAGCAAGTGCAACTTAATATAAAGGATTTAAAAACTGGCAGCGATGACATCTCGGATTTTTGTCGTTCGCGCCAAGCAGAACACGTCACGACCCAGGAGAGCACACCGCAGAGCACCCAACAAGAGCATCACCGGGGCAACCCCTGCGGTAACGTCCCGCGGGGGCAAGGGGTTCCGTGCTCCGGGGGGGGGGCAGCCGTGGAAACGGATCGCAGTCCCGTCGCTCACCTCCACGTTGCGGTAGTGCGTGGGACTCCGGCAGTGGCCCTCCCGCGCCGAACTCTCGCACACGTAGAACAGGCGGCACAGGAGGCAGTAGAACCCCGTGCGCGGCACCACGAAGTTCACGCCTACAGGAGGAAGGGCAGCGTGAAGGGCGCTGGCCCGGCGTGCCGTGCGACAGCGGCCGGTGGCGGCCTACGTGAAGCTTCACTGCGCGGAACGTCTCGCAGAGCGGTGCTGATGGTTACAGCGGCTCCAAGGCCAATCCCCAATCAACTTTAAGATCACACTGCTCACCATCTTTAAGATCCTCTGTGGACTTGCCCCTGTCTGCCTCTCCCCTCACTCTACTCCACTCCACGCACTCTCCAACCTTTCCCCTCTCTTCTCACTCTTCTCTACTCCACGCATTCTCCACTTCAGCAACCCGTGTGAACCAGTTCAATTGCAGGGATGTCAGATGTAGTTTTGTTGCATCCACTTCCACATGTCCTTCACTAACACAGAGGCTTGCGCAACGCCGACCGCGCAATCGGGGTAACATTTGGGGGAGGGGGAAATAAAACGACGAAGAGCCAACTTCAAACGCGGCGCTACACGTGTTTGTTAGAAAGTTTCGGGGCCGTGACGGGGGGGGGGGGGGCGGAAGCGCGTGCCGCGTTTTGAAGGTGGCGCGGCCCCGCCAACCTGCGCCGGTCCAGCGGGATCCGCCGCGCTAAACAACGTCAGGGTCGCACGCTCAACGTCGCATTCGACCAAGGTTTCGGATGCACGAACGAAAGAGCGGAAGGCGTTGCCGGGAGACGTCGTCTCAACAGAGCAGCCTCTCAATTAGCCCCGGCCGCGTGCCGCGCGATCTCCGCGCGCCCGCCGGTAGTGCGCACTCAGGGCAGGCATTCCTCCCCCCAGCCGACCCCTTTAGTCGTTGACCCCTCGTACCCCTGCGAGCCCTGGGGCCCTTTTAGCGGCACCATGCATCAAAGGCGCCCGGGCCGAGAAGGCCCCCCACCGTGACCCAATGCGCTCGCCTCTCGGGACCCGGCTGGCGCGCACCCACCCCCGACCCGTGAGCGAGACCGCTCCCGACGGCAGGGAGCGAGCGTGCGGTCGCGCGGTCGGCCTGAGCGGATTGCGGCCGCGTGCGCTCTCGCTGTTGCGCCGTGGCACGGAGCTGTCGGGTCGTGGCACGCGTTGTTGCTGGGAGCTTCTCCAGGAACTGAATTCAATATTCAGCTCTTGAAGATTCTTCCAGCATGTGCAGCTATGGGTGTATCCACCCCCCCACCCCGACAGTGCCATCCCCCCTTTGTGACCCCCATTTCACTTTGTCCTGCAGTCACCATTGCCAACAAAACATTACTCACAATCTTTAAAGCTCACGATCAATTTTTACTATTTGCAGTATGCGTGCGTGTGTGTGTGCGTACGTGTGTGTCGTGGTTAGCGCAGCGCACTACAAACCCAGAGACCAGAATTCACTTGCCGTTCACAGTGAACATCATGGCAAGTAGCTGAATCGGTTCTCGGCCTCCCCTCGGTCGACTTTGCTATAAAACAGTACGCAGTGCAATGTGTAAATATCTCAGCACTGCGCAAAGATGGCCAAATATGGTTCTGGCTACACCACCCATTCGTCTGCCACATTAGCTTAAATAGGTGCTCACTAACAGCACTCCCCAATAGTCTAAGCAGGCTATACGTGTGTGTGTGTCGCTACAATGCAATCGGAGTGTGATTCCTGGCCAGTCAACATCGGTGGGGCAAGTGGTATCTGCCCCTGTCCCAGGGACATCGACTAGGTCGACTCAGCCTCAAGTAAGAATGTGGTGCAGTGGTGGACTTGCCGATAGGAGGACTGAGCGATTCCTCGCCGGCCGCCGACACGGAGACGCACGCAGGGGACTCCGTGCATCTTTTCAGGTCGCTGAGGATTTCTGCGGAGGAGCGAGAGGCACGGACGATGTTGACTAAGCTGTTTATTTTTTAATAGGTAAGGCCCACTTGAGCTACATAGCTCTTTTTCAGAAGCGACCTGGCCACGAACGATTGGTCAACGAAGTGGCTTACTATGTGCAAATGTATAGCAGAAGCCAAATACTGTAATCTAAACGCTTGTTGTTTCTACATGTGGAGGGAAAAACCTGAGGACCAGGAGAAATATCCACGCGACCACAGGGAGAGAGACATGCAAACTCCAAATATACAGCAGGCGTCGGGGTCGGGATCGAACCCCCGACCTCATGTACACCAGGCGAGGTAGTTAACATCTCGCCGCCGTAGCGCCCCTTGACACCAACTCGCGCGTGACGCACGACATGGTTGCACGGCTCACCCACGTTGAGGCCTCGGGCTCCAGAGCCATCGTTAGTGGTTGTGGCGGGCCCAATGGGGGCCCAAGCAGAATACATTTTTGGGGTTCCCCCTTTCAATTCTTAAGAGCCTAGCGAGATGACAGAAGACAAGAGAAAGAGACGTCGTGTGGGATGAGAGAAGAGGAATGAGGACAATGTCGAGGGATGAGAGATACTTCCCCTTGTTAAGGTTATTAGGGTTTTAATTTGTTGATATTTTGTTTTCATGAATCTGGGGCCTCTTCAGCTGCTTGGGGCCCTAAGCTTGAACTTGGTTGGCGTTTGTATGCCTAGTGCCACCGCTGGTCACCATCAACATCATCATCGTCGTCGTGTTGAGTAGATTCATGGGTTTTTTGGATGCGTAGTGGTTAGAATTCACCGACATCGAGATGATTTGCCAGATAGTAAACACGTACAGGCATTTCTAGGGGCCTTGTAAGCCTGTCACAAAAATCACACCAAATATTGTTATTTAAAACGGCATAGAGGGGGGAGTGGCGGAACTGCGGTTAGCGCACTGCGCCACAAACCTGGCGAAACGAATTAACGTTCCAGGCCACGGCAAGTGACATCCAAATCGGCGCTTCAACAACCCGCCGCACTCACCAGCTTTGGTGACGTACGGTCCAGAAACCCCGATGGGAGGTAATAATCCAGAAGTGGATTGATAAGGGGGCTGTTAACGTTGACGTTGCTACGAGCGGGAAGCAATTCAAGGGCAGCTGGTGTATGGAACCCGGTCGAACGCGACCAGCAGGGGGCAGCATCGAGCCGCGGATGAGAGAGATAAAATAATCGTTTAAAACGTGCCTTTCGTAGCCAGCACCACGGGGTTCCACATTTGTCTTTGGGTTAGGTCACACGTGGCGGGGGCTTTATGTCAGTGTCTTGTCATTAACCCTCCACCGCCTGACCAGATTTAAAACGTCGCACGTTGGTGTTGAACTTGGTGGGGGGAAGTCCGAAGCTGCCGGTGAGCTGCTGCAGCTCTATCGGTCAGAGTTTGATCAAAGCATCGTCACGGTACGAACAACAACAACAATAATAATGTCTGCGTTTAACCGGACAATCTCGTCGGGTGGTGGAGGGGTTGACGACGAGAATTGTGACGTAAAAACTACCAGCACGCGTCGATCGACACGAAAAAACAGATACGGATAAAGAAATAAAAGCCGTATTAAGCGCCTGGCAGAGTGGTGAAGTATGGTGAAAAGTGATGTTTGTATTGTGTAGGAGTCTCGTTTGCCAAGAGGGAGGAGCCGGCGCGTGACTCCGAGACACCTCCACAGCGGGCAGCGGGAGCGACGCAACCCGTCAGAAACAACATTTACAAATCATCACCAAAACCACCCCCGCCCACCCCCCCCCCCGCGGCAGATTCTATCGCCGCGCGTGCCCCTCGATAGCTTAAAGATTTCTATTTAGATCAACGCACGCCGCTGCAGCCGACAGCCCCCCGGACGCGTGGCAGATGCCGCCGCCTCCACCGGCGGGAGCAGCTCGGTGCCGTAAAACACGAGAGGGATGTGACTCGAGACGATGGAAGACGCGAGATGGAGATGATTTGTGGCCACGCTGACTCGATTGCCTCCCGGGCGCGCAACGATTGGATGCAGCGATTTAAAAAATCTACACCACGCACATCGTTTGAGGCGGTCACGTTCTATCCAAGCCGCCGCCCCCCACCAAGCCGTCGCACACAAGAGCCGATCTCGTCGCTCCATCTCCGCAACGGACGTCCCTCCCCGGCGTGTGCGCACACGCGTCTCTTAATTGAAGAATGAGGAACTGTGCAAATTACTCGTGAAGGCCAGGGTCAAGACGGTACGAACGTACCACGCAAATGTTGATCGATTCTTGAATAAAGTCACGACCCCAAATCTGGACAATGCCGCGTGCACTTATGGATCAGGAGTTGGCACGCACCTGGAGCGAGGGGTTGGCCCGCGGGCTTCACGACTCCGGGCAACCCGTCGCGACGGTCGTCACCGCTGCCTGCCCCCTCGTCCCCCTCCATCATCACCCTGGGCCGTGGTCCCTCGGCGTCCCGTACGTCGCCGTCGGATTCCGAGCTGCGGCTTCGCGGGAAGGACGCGGGTTCGTCCCGCGTGCCGCGAGGCTCTCGGGGGAGGGCCGGGGCTTCCGCGTCCGCGTCGGCCGTCTCCTCCGAGCGGCCATCCCCGTTGGCGGCCGGGACCGGCGCCGGCGCCGTCTCCTCCGTGTCCGCCGCGTCGCCTCCGTGGGGGGCGACGTCCGGGAGATTTGCGACCTCGTCACCCGACGGTCGATCGCCACCGCCCGGGGGTGCCCGCTCATCCACGAGCCTCGCCGCCACAGACGCCGTGGCGGCAGCGGCGGCGACCTCGTCGGCCGCCGCCTCCTCCCCGCCGCCCGATCCCTCGCCGACGACGAGGTGAACGGAGCCCTTCTCCTCCTCCCCCATCTCCTCTTCGGCTCCAACCTCATCCACGGTGACGAACCCGACGTCGCCCAGGAAGAAGTCCTGCTCCTCATCGCGATCACGGAGCGCGTGGAGCCTGCTCGGCTCCTCTGTCGCGCCGCCGCCGGCGCCGCCGCCCGTGCTCGCGCCCCCCCGCGTCTCGCCCGCTCCATCCCCCCGCCGCTCGGTGGGGTCGCGTCGCCACGCTCCTTGTGCGAGATCCTCCAGCTCGTTCGGCGCAGGGCTCAGCCTCGCCCCGTTCTCCCTCGTCGTCGTCGTCTCGCTCTCCCTCATCATCGTCTCGCCGTCATCCATCGTGGCCTCGTGCTCGCGCGGGCTCGTCGGCCTGGTCCTGCCCTGCGAGGGATTCTCCAGTGGACTCTGGGGTTGGCGGCGAGGAGAGGGGGTGGAGGGTCCAGGAGACGAGCTGGAGAGGCTCTCACGGCGCCAGGGCGACCGGCTCCGTTTCCATGGCACCGGGCTGAACGAGCGCACCGCGTTGGCAGTGGGAGACTCACGGTCGCGGGACAGGGGGCTGCGCGACCGCACACGGCTCCTGCGGCGATACAACAGCGGGCGCTGGCATCAGCAGGCAACTCGGCACCCAGCAGCGTCCAGCAGCGATCAACAGCGACCAAAAGCGACCAGCAGGAATGATAAGTGACCAGCAGCGACCAGAATCGCGACTGTAGCAGTCGGTTGTGGTTTTTCAAAAGCACTCGGACCTGCTCTCGCCCACCTCCATAGCCACATCGTTGTTTTCAGTGCATCTGGTGAACTGGGCCCCCACTAGAGGGGGGGTCTCTCCAGGTCCCTGTATTGGTGGCCCTTCCTTGAGCAGTGCCGCGAGCGAGCAATTGCAGGGCTGCGCCTTTACCTAAACCAGAGCAGTCATTAAAGGTGGAAAAATGATGGAAGAGAGAGGCTGACAAAGAGCCGATTGGACTGCTGTTGGAAAACCCCACCACGGAGGATGAGTGAGGAATCGGCTCGTGTGCGCGGGTGCGCGATGATTTGTTTGAATCGTAGGACCGCAAGAGATGATAATGGCTTGGAGAAGATCCTTCATTCAGCAGTGGATAGATGATGGCAATGGCGATGTCGATGCGATGAGTGTTGTGGTGCTGGTGAGTGCCAGTGCGGAGGAGGGTGGCCGTACTGGGCGGTGCCGGCGCGAGCTCTGGCCGAGTGCCCCGTCTCCTCCATCAGCACCTCGTCCACAGGGCGTCCCGGTTTCTACCGGCGGAGGACATCGCACGCAGCACGGGGCATGGGGCACGGGGCACGGGACAAGGGGCATGGGGCAGAGGGCAGAGGGCACGGGGCATGGGTTAGAGGACAGCGGGAAGACACCGCACAATGTACACCGGGCACTCAGTTCTCAATCAATATTTTCAGGATCGTTCCTAGGGCTGCCTTGGATTACCAGCGTAAGGCACTACCACTAGTGTGCAAGGTGTGGCTATCCATACTAACCCTATGTTACTGCACCGTATAACCGGCAGATGACTCAGCGAGCGGCTCGCAATCGGAAGGTTGCAAGTTCACATCCTGGTTGGGGTTTCAGTCAGCCCCTCATCATTCCTCTGGGGTCGATAAAATAGGCACCACTTTGTAGGGAAGTTATCAGTGGTCATCCTGTTGATAGACTCGCCCCTGCCATGGGAATGTGGAATTTCCACCATATTCTGCTCATTTAAGCAGGAAATCACTTTGACTACGCCCCTTTAATTGTATGGCAAGTAAGGCGAGATGGAGGTGCCAACGTTAATCCTGGCACAGTGTCGTTCCCGACCGTTCCGGCTGAAACTCATCACGTCCGCTCACGCAGGACAGCGATACGCTAAGTGCCCGACCCCTGCGAGTCTGCGTCGTGACCCGGATCTCCGGGTCGGCCGACCTCCTCCATCAGCACGCGAACCTGACGACCCCAGACACCACCAAATGTCACGTTTGGCCGACATCAGCAGCTGCGTCGCCGGGGCCGGGTACAACCTCCCGGGCCGGATGATCGCCGCGATGATGTTGGGAAAAGGGGGGCGTGAGGGAGGGGGGGGGGCTTGAGGGGGTCACCACGAGGGACTCTGGGTTCCGGGACGGGAGGGAAGGGCACCTTGAGCACGAGGCGCTGGTAAGAGCTGGACATCTGCACGGCGACGGGCTGCTCCTGCAGGAGTGGTGGTTGCGCCGCGTACGTCCTCACCAGCGCCCGCGCCGCCTCGGGCCTCGCCATCTCCAGGAAAGCCTGCGAGCCGCCGGGAGCAGAGCGCGCACGCCACGCCGTTTCCGGCTACCAGTGTATTTCGACCGCGCTTGCGGACGCGTAGGCTCAAAACGCCAAGCGGCCAGCGATGAACAGGAGCGGTGACGTAGTACTATGCGAGGGTGTAACGCGAGTCACGAATCGCGTGCTAATCTCACCTCCGATTGCCACGGTTGGCTAAGTACGTGCGAAAGAAGAACATACATGCATACAATTGAGCAGGGTTATTGTTGTAAGAGCTTGGGAGCAAAGAAACGATGATGGGATGGAGGGAAATGCAAAAGTGGAGCGGTGCGAGGGAAGAAGCGGAAAGAAAAATGAGCTGACCTGCAGTGTGGTGAATGAGCGGGTGAGCGAGTGAACGGGTGAGCGAGTGAACGGGTGAGCGAGTGGATGAGCGGTGAGTGAGCGGGTGAGCGAGTGAACGGGTGAGCGAGTAGATGAGCGGTGAGTGAGCGGGTGAGCGAGTGAACGGGTGAGCGAGTAGATGAGCGGTGAGTGAGCGGGTGAGCGAGTGAACGGGTGAGCGAGCGAACGGGCAAGTGAGCGGAGCAGCGTGAAGGAAAAAGCGAAGAGGCGAGCGTTTTCACCTGCAGCGTGGCGATTTGAACACACCGGTAACAAAGGCACATTTGACATTGCCTCGCCCCATGCGACGCTGCCCGCTGGGGCACGTGTTGATTGTTTTGGGCTCGCGCAAGCAAGCAAAAAAGGAAGGGGGAAAAAAATGTAAATGGGATGTCCCGTGCGCCGCGACGCACGTGATGAAGATGCCGCGCGGTGGTGCGTGGCGGCCGCCGTTGCTTTGCCGTTTGTATTCCCGGACAAACGACCTTGAGATGCTATCAGAAGCCACACTTTTTTGACAGCAGCGAAAGTTTGTACTTTCACTCAGCTGCTGCCTTATCGATCAAAAGCGTTTGCTCCTGGCAGTGTCTGTGTGTCCACATGTCGGTGCGCGTGTGCGAGGAGTTCGGGGGAGGGGGGGGTGAGGGGCTGTGATGCCGCTTCTGCTTAAGGAACTGGGGATGCAGCCAAAAGGCAGAGTGAGCGAGAGAGAGAGAGCGTGATTATTTCAAATATGGGCTGAGCAGTAGATTTCTCGGCATGAATCATAACGGTGACGCGGCTGCACAGACAGAGTCGCCCACACCACCACGCATGTGAGTCGGAAGGAAGGTCGCAACGACGTTACGTAATTACGATGTTTGTTTAACTTGGTCTCTATTTGTTAGATGAACATCTTTTTTTTACATATATACTGCGTGTCATGAAAATGTCTTCATGTCATAACCCAGGTTGGCCTTAACGTGTCACGCGTCTCTTAACCATGTGCTGGTCAAATGAAGAACACCGGCATAACGGCGCAAGTTGAGAGATTTCATTCATCGTTCGGCCAGGCATTTCGAGGATTCCCATAAAGGTTCGGCCATTGGCGATTGGCCACGCGGCGCATTGGGTTACGCTGTGCAGGGTGTATGGGGCACAATGAGACAGACACCAAGTAGCAAACCGGGCATTAATAGAACGGTCAAAAGTCAGTGGGCAGAGAGAACAAACTGCCCCCGGTGGCTCTTTAAATGGAATGATAAGCCATGACATTTGCAGTAACAGCCAAATATATTCCAGGCCGGTTAAGAAAGTCACACACCTGATCACGTTGACCGACTAAGCCAATCCACAGTGCAAATATTTTGCAAACTTGAGAACGTGGAAAAGGGTAAACCATCGCCGTGCAGCATCGGAGAGTCTGACGGGGAGCGAGCCGCTCCGTTTGTAGCCGCGTCTTTGTAAAGGATTCCAGCACGCTCAGACCAAATGGCTCGCGGGTTTTGGTACCCGCGCCATTCTCATAGTGCGGGACTATCATCGCCCCCCTGACCCACGCGCCCCCCCAACGACCCGCGCCCTCACCTGGTTTTTGGACCTCATGAGAATGTAGTTGGTGACCTTGCCGAAGGGCAGGCCCAGCCGGATGATGTCGGCCTCGGTGAAGGCCACGGGCGGAAGGTTGTGGAAGTGAACCACGCGGCCAGCGCTGTCCGGCCGGCCGGCCCCGTCCTGCGTGGAAGGCAGCGGCAGCTGTCAAGCTCGAGGCGGGTTCACAAATCGCCTGGCTGAAGTTTGTTCAGTTTGTCCGGTTTTTTAAAAAAGGACGAGCCCCCAAAATCGACGCAATGCGATACAAAAGTCACTTTTTTTACATATTTATCCACAAACGCCACACTGAATCCAAGGACTCTCTTTAGTTATTTATTTACATATATATTTTGAAATCCCACACGTGCAAAAGGGCAATACTATGAATGAGTCCACTTGCTGCACTGGCTTCTCCTGGCGAGCCGAGGTACGGAACCTCCTCGTTGCCCACGGGAAGGGAGTTTCACAGCATCTGTGCATGATCCACCAACTCTCGCTGCTGCCCCCACACAGTGCTGGATCACAGGCCACGTGCTCCGTAGCCACCACAGTGCCCCCCACCTCCAAAACTTAGAGAGCAGAGTTCAATTCCCGGCCAAGGCTAACATTGGTGGCGAGTGACATCTGAACCGATCCTCGGTAGCCCTTGCCTCACCTTTACCAAATATGGGCGCCGTGGCGGTGAAGTATGGCAAAACAAATGACGGCATGGGGAGGGCTTCATCCAGCAGTGGATTGATCAAGGAGAGGCTCGTGAATGCTAATGATTTATTATTATTGCGCGCACGCTGGCGGCCACGCCACGGGGGATTAAGTGGACATTTACGACCCCTGGCTGCACGATCGCGCCGCTCTGCCATCTCTGGGACCGCACGCACGGCCGCTTCAAAGGCAATGTATAAATAAAGCACGCGCGGTGGAGCGGCGGGCGGGCGGCCCCCTCCCTGCCCGGTTATGGCAATCGGCGCGCTCCGCTCGCGAGAGCGCCGACCGCCGACCCGAGCGACCGGATGCGTACGGACGCTCGGAGAGACGCAGAAAACGGACGGAGGCTCACAGTGTGCACGGAGAAGCGCAGAGAAAAAGCGCGGAGAGGCGCGTGATTGGAATGACACAGAGAGACGAAAGGGGGGGAGCGCGTGCACGAGAGAAAAAAACTGAGCCAATGCTCGCCAGTTAAGGGCGGCACGCTGACAGTCAAGGAAATCAAGAGGGCTCAGGGAGGTCACCTCGATAGCCCGTACGATGGCCAATGAGCGAGACTGGCGGTGGAATTGCAGCCAAAGGAGGGAACAGGCGGTCAAGAAGATGACCTCGGTGGAGATGAGATCAGTTCAGGGGCAGGATCGGGGCGGATTGTGGCAATGCGGGACACGTGAGGGATGGTGATGGTGTGGTCAGGCTTTCAGCCAGCAGTGGACGGACAATAATTCTTGAAGGTAATGATAAGGATGATGAACGAGCCATTTGTTAATGACTCTAGATTCAGTCGCTACGTGCACGTCACAGAATGAGAGCCACCAACCCCCTTGTCACACCAAACTCCCCAGCTCTGGGAGTTTATTTGGAAATGTCTCATGGGCAACACGAATTGTGGTCGAGCGGTGATCGTCCAAATACCACCACCACGAAGCCCACTCCAGGGAGGTTACATGCCCCTGGCATAACTACAATCATCAACCGAGCAACACACATCCCCTGTATAGCCTTCACAGACTGTTGGGGCAAGTGCTGTTAGCGAGCACCTTTGAAGGCCGGTACGGCACACGAGGGGGTGGGTGGCCAGCACCACACGCGGCTGCCTTTGTATCCCAAGCGGCAACGTTTACACACCGCACCAGGTACTCATTTGAAGCCGAGTCCACGTGGGGGAGGCCCAGGATCGTCACTGGTGTTGGTGGACGTGAACGATAATCCAACTCGGGTCACTGGGTTCATAGCGCCGCATGCTAACCCGCTACGCTACTGCTCCCCACCAACACCAACAACCAACACACTCCAACTATACTCCACTCCGCGTACACTCCGCTTCATGAACCAAGGATTTCAGTCGAAGTCCCCAGTCATTGCCTTCCCCCCACGCCGCTCAGTGGGAGGTCGCGCTTCTGCTTCTGCTACCCCAGGCGTCCGTGCTGTTGACTCCCTGCCCCTTGTTCAAGTATAGGCTCAAGACCTGAGTCTCCTTTGCTTACGCAACAGATAAACAAGCCTCTCTTCCCTGGGAAGCCCACGTCCCGCTGTGTCTGCGCAGCGTCTTGAGATGCGGTGTCCGCGAGGCGCCGCGTGGATGTGGCTCGTATTGAATCGTGATGGGGACACTGTAGGGCCGATGATTCAGCTTCTGCGGCGTCGAAATGAAAAATTAACGACATTATAAATAAAGCGGAGACATTTTCCCAGAAGAACCCGCAGCATTTGGCCACCAAACAGAAAATCTGGCGCAGGAGGTCACCCCTGGAGAAGGAAAGCTCTGCGGTCACGTGACCAAAGGCAGATTTACGGCTGCAGGGGGGCGGCGCGTGGGACGAGCCGCCACGAGCGCCGTGCGGGCCGCTTCGTCCGTCCGCTAAAAACCGACGGCCCAGGGCTGGAGGCCCCCGTGGCCCCCCGCGCAAGGCAGCGGCAGGTGCCGTGGGTGTTGTGGGGGTCCCGACACCCCCCACCCCCCCCCCCCAACACGGTTAAGAGACCCACACGGAAAACACTTGGCAAAAGTTTGTGGTATTTTTGAATCTGCGTTATTCCCCCACTTTCACCGAGGCATCGTTCCACGAGTCGCCACTGACCAGGATTTCCACCTCCGGGTCAAATGAAGGGACACCGCTGGCGCCGATTGTGCCGACGGTGGGACCTGTAGTCGCATGGCAGCGCGCGAAGTCAGCTCGGCACGGAGCCGTAGCAGCCAGCAGCTGTGGTTATCCAGAAACCACAAGGAGCCATTCGCTGGTAGGGTCCCCCCCCAACTTCCACAGTGTACCCGCATCGGTGGATTGACAGGTTGCGAATTTGCCATCGTATTATCATCAGCAAATATGATCTATCCACTGCTGCATGAAGGCCTCCCCCGAAGCCAATAAGCTGATTTCATTGCATCTCCCTGAGGTGTATAAAATCAGTACCACTTTGTGGACAATTAACGGCGGTTGGCCCCCACCACAGGAATGTGGAATTTCTACCGCTGGCTCTGGGGTGTGAACGGGAGGCGAGCGTTGCCACGCGCTCGTTCGAGTGGGGAAAGCACTCTGGCCGAGCGAACGCGGCGATGACGGACCGATCGGTTTCCTTTATTTAACCCAGGTGAGAGCCCCCTGGGGGAGGGGGGGGGGGGCACGTGCGTCTATTCATAGGACCTCCTGGGTAAAAACCAGGGGCGCAGTGCGGTCGCCGTGGCCCCAGTGCTCGCTCGATGGCCACGCCGCCGCTAGCACTGTACAAACAGAGTCGTCAAACGGCACGAGGTCCCTGCCAAACTGTAGACAACTGCAGCACCAAGGTGGCCAGGGGCACGGGGGGGCAGAGGGGGGGGGGTTAGGGGAGGGTGAGGAAAGTGGCTTTGGCCAAGAGCTTAGTCCCCTGATCCTGGTCTCCCGAGATTCAGCCATTCGCAGCGGCGTAGCCATCCAGTGTGCAGGCGGTGCGACTGCGCCGGGGCTCACGGGCCCTGGCGCCGGTGGGAGGGCCCCGTTTCCTTCCTCGCACCTTGGGCCCACGTCATCCACGCTACACCACTGGCCGCTCGCATCCCGGGCCAGCGCCACGCGCACCCTCCACGCGCACGCACACGCAGCGCTCACTCTCTCCGTCTCTCTCTTTAACCCTCGCCCCAACTCCGACGTAACGACCGCGCCATAACTCACTCTTCATTAGTGGACACGACCCAAGACTTATTTAACGCAACGGGGGCCCGCGGCGCGAGGCCCGGGAATGCTCCCGGCCGCCGGCGGTTTCTGCCGCTTGCGCCGAGCGCGGCCCGGCTAATTCGGATCGCGGCGCGGGGGCCGCTCGCCGGTGGCGGAATGCGACGTATGGGTGGCAGCCTCTTAGCGGCGTCCCACGGCGGCCGCGGGGCACAGCTGTCACGCGTCAGCGGCACGCGCGGCCCGGCGACACGGGGATAATGATAGGGATGAAATACGCGGCGCGATAAGGAACCGGGTGGCTTTGCACGAGCGAGGACAAACGCGGTGATGGTTGCCTTTCCATCTGAACTTTCTATCCCTTTTATGAACCCAAGAATCAGGCTTTCAGCCAGCAGTGGACAGACAATGATTCTTGGTGGTAATGATGAGGATGATGAACGAGCTGGTTGTGAATGACTCTAGATTCAGTTGCTCCTTTCACGTCGGCGGAGACGTCACAAACTCTCAGCTCTGAGAGTTTGTTTGGAGACGTCACATGGGGGACACGAATCGTGGTCAAGTGGTGATCGTCCCAATACCACCACCACCACCAAGAAGCCCACTTGAGAGAGGTTTAATGCTCCTGGCTTAACCCCAACCATCAACCGAGCAACCAAGACCCCCCATATAGCATTAACAGACTGTTGTGGCAAGTGCTGTTAGCGAGCACTTACAAAGGCCGGCACGGCACACGAGGGGGCGGGTGGCCAGCATCACGCCCGGTCACCTTTGTCTCCCAAGCGGCGATGTTTACACACCACACCAGGAACTCATTTGAGGCTGAGTCTGCCTAGGGGAGGCCCAGGATCGCCACTGGTGATGCCCGTGACACAACGAGAGATGTTCATCGAATCAAGTAGAGCTTTGAGAACGGATTCATCGTCTCGTGAGGTGATGCCAATAGCACAATCTGGATAACATTTGGGGAACACTATATCCAACACATTTTCAAGCAAAAACTGGAAGCCTCGTAACGGTGTAGTGCGTAGCTCCAATCGTGCGCAGATGTGCATCGGTTGCCGTGCTGCAGTCCGCGAGGAGAGATGCGTCACTGGCGCGCCGCTCTCCGCACACCGCCCAATTCAGGCTGGCTCAGCAGACGTAAATTGGGGATCACGTTACTCAAATTGTTAATAAAAAAACTGCGGGATTTTAGCTCCGGTCGCAGCCCCTGAATGGCGACCGGCCGGGATCGCCGCAAGCGAGCGGATCGAGCGAGCGCCCCGGGACCCGAGGCTCCGC